ACAGCTGCAATCAACTCTTTTCCCTTGATATAAAAAGGGAAGGGTTGCTGCTGCCAAAGTGTTTTTCATGTGGCCCTCCAGCTCCAGAACATGAATCCACCTCTCCCAACCACTGGAAACAATGAAAAGTTATTTCTTTCAAACATGGGAAAAAAAAAAAAAAAGGAAAAAAAAGAGAGAAAAAAGAGAGAGCAGGAGAGAGTAGATGAGAAAAGATTGCTTCCTGCCATACGGATACAGTACAGCAAATCAGAACAAATTAGCTTCATACGGGTGGCTAGCAATGGATTCTACAGTTTAGTATAATTATAGCTTATTTTGTTCTGCATATTGGATAAGGTAGTCTAAGCTTAGCCAAGGAGCTCCTTTGAAGATGTGGTCTGACCTTAGCCAAGAAGCTCTCAATTTGTTTTTACAAGAAATTGCAAAAAAGACAAATACAAGCACATTGGCCTGGTTAATAAAATCTAGTATAATGAAATATCAGTTACCTGGAAAGTAATTTGTTTATGGAAAAGTAATACCTGGACTGACAATTAAACTTAAGGGTATGAGAGGTACGACCCATTTTTCACTTTGCAAGTCCAGTTTGTATTTGGGATGTAGTGGGTACAACATTCCGAAAATGCATCTTCTACCAGAAGATGGTGAGAATCTATCCATATAACCTAATCCATTGAGTAAGATTATGCCATTTTGTCTGAAAGGCAGGAAACTGCTGAGTAGTTTTAAAATAAAAAACACTTTAAGAAATAAACCTCTAAAATCCCCTAAAAGTACACAGATAACTGTGCATCAAACACTTCAGTGAGGTAGATCAAAAAGCCTCTTCAAGTTCTCTTTGCAAGAACAGACCCTACAGTACTATGATTTAAGAGTATGCCCATTTCTATTTTGTTATTTTTCCTTGTCTTAAAAGTTTTTGTTATAGAAAACATGTAGACTCAATAGAGATATTGACAAATATAATGTGAACCAAAAAGTTTTAAATACTATTCGTTGCTTTCTCATTAAATCTGATTGTACTTGCTTTGTTACTCAAGACACCAATATTTTCCCTGAAGAACTCTTGAGAATCAGTACATGCATTTACAAGATCACTCCTCACTTAATCCAAGACTTGCTTGCTGGCATTTTTTTTGCAAGTTACATAAATTCTGGTTGATACATAAAAAACCCCATGCACAGGAATAGAAGGGCTTTTTTGACTGCTGCTGTTTTTAAAGAATTGATAACAGCCAGTATTTTCTATAGGAGTTAAAAAATAGAATGCCAAGACATGAAAAGTGGCTGACTATAGTTAGTCCACTACTAGGCACCTAAATAATTGTCCCTGTTTTCAGTGGGCTCTGAGACTGTCAAGGGTACTCTAGACTCAGTGTAGTTTTCCCAGCAAGAACCTTAATTCTATATGCTCGTTTGTTAAAACTCTTGGTCACATTGTCCCACAAACCTTAAAAACCAAACAAAACTCCCATGCCACGGAAGGAGCTTGAACTATCTCATCTGGACACTGCACAGAAATCTGATTGGTCCTTGCTTATTTGATTGGCAAAATTATCATCCACTGATTCATGAGGTAAGGGAAATTTCCGCAACCTCATCTGAGAATTTAAGCTTTCTGACAATACTAGGCCAATGACATAGGTGAGTTTATCATCCTCACCTCACATGAATTGAAAAGAAATGTGATCAAAAAACCCTCCACTTCTATTCTGGGAGGCAGCTGAAGTGAGAGAGCACAAGATTTATATGCCACTGCTGCACCTGACTATGAAGTTCATAAAAGATAGCTAAGGTAGGCACACATATTCAGTAGCTCCCTGTAAACAGAAATAACATGCAGTGCACTTGGAAGTGTGTTTGTTGGTTTTCACTAAGGAGCTCATGTATGTGCTTTGTCCAACTATCATATTTAATGGTGGCTGGCACTTAGCTTCAGTTGTAAAAATCTGGAAAAACACAACTTGTCATGAGCTAAAAATGTTAAAAAATGACTGATTTCCTTCCATTGAACTCACTGGTTGAAATACCTTTTGGAAAAAAAAAAAAAAAAAAAAAAAAAAAAAAAAAAAAAAAAAAAAAAGAATTTGATCCCTTTTCCAGAAATTTTTAATAAAATGCATGCCAACACCTGGCAAAAGAGTTCCTTTCAACATACTGAATATTTAAGTTGTGGATTTCCTTATGTCCATGGAAAATGAGTATCAAAGTAATCCAAACCTTGTTACATAATCTCCAGTGGTAGTGCCTGTGGTTCAGTGATTCCCAATTCTAGGGTTGTTCTCTTTATTGTTTAGAAAGAAAACTCAGGTAAAAGAGAAATCACTAAAATGTGTGACAGTTATCTCATCTGGGCAGTATTGGGTCAGCTGCAGCACTGGGCCAACAATTCCATCCACAACGTCTTGTTGCTGCTGTTTTTTTGATTTTTCTTTTAAGTCTATCAAGCATCAGAATTTATTTTTTTTTTTTAAATTCCAAACCTAATTGAATCATGTAATTTTCAGATTAAGTCAAGCTGTTATTGGCAGAAAACTCAAACAAGTATCAAGATAAAGATGAATGTACATCACTTAACAGATGCACAGTCTATCTAAGAGCTGGAGTGACTTTTTTGACAGCATCTTCATGAAAACTCTTATATCAGGGCAATCCTCACCACAAATTTTCCTCTATATCAAAAGTGTTGAATATAATTGTAGATAGATAATATTGTCTTGGAGAGCATGAGGCTGGGCAGCAAATGTAGAAAGAGTTGAATTACAGATTCACCCTGATATGCAAAACATGAGAAGGCTATTTAGATTTTAGCTATATGCAAGAGCTACCTCTAATCTCAGAAATTCAAGTTAGAACCTGAGTGTTGATGTAATAATGCTGATTTTTATGATCACAAATTATATTAATTCATTTAATGTTATCATGTCTCCTGTTCACCTGCAAATGCCTAAATGATGTAATTTGTTAACCCACACAGTATTCAAATTAATTGGAATTTTAAGACATCATCAGGGAAATACATTAGAGGCATACATTTAATTATGCTATTGTTCCTATAGAACTTCTGAGAGAAGTAATAAGTCACTGTAACCAGAAGAGTAGTTATAAAGTATGAAAAATAAGTTAAAAACTAGGAAAAAAGAGCATATGAGGAAGCTGCTCAGAACCATGCTATCCAGAAACCATATGGAATAAGTTATGAAGGAAAGCTATTGAAGCAATGAACATAAATGATTTCAGGAGACACCTAAATTGTTTCCAAAGGAGGAGACAGAGGGAAGTTGTTAAAAAGAAAAGAAAAATACAGTGGAAAAAAGATCAATCAAATTAAAAATATGGTGGACAGATGGTCTTATTCTGTTCCTGGAATATCTTACTTTCTTAAAAATAAAAATTAAAGCAAAAATGTAATAACAAATTTGCCCAGTAGCCTGACTTAAATAGAATCTCAGTCCTAATTTAATTTACTTGAATTTCTCTTTCAATGACATACAAAATTTTTCTTTGGAATATATAAGCATGTTTTACACTTCCCAGTGTAAGGATGGCTGCCCCTTCAGGCACTACATTTATGCCCAAATTAATCTTACCTAACTTTAGATCCCTTAGTGAAGTGTAGGCTCCTTGACTAACCACTGTGGACAGCCCAGCCCACTCCTGAGCTCCAACCAAACCCAAACCACGCTCAGAGGGTACCGTCACCGTCAACGAGGTATAAAAAGCCACATCAAGAGACAGAGAATGAACTCATCAAGAATGAGTAGAGTTCAAGTCTGTGGTTCATCTTGTGCTCCCAAACGTACATGAGGAGAGGCAAGAGAAAATGATGAAATGAAACTCTTCTGCTTACATCCTGCAAGACTTCATGGCTCCAAGAACAAATGGGTGCATTGGTACGTCCACAAGATGGACTGAGCAATCAGTCAGGCAACAAAAAGTTTAATCATCTTTTTCTTCCCCCCTGTGCTGCCACCTGCCACACATGGTAGGTTTTCCCAAGAATCCTCTTATTTACAAGTCATTTTAGAGGACTTTAAACCTCTGGTAATTTACAAGAAACGGTAATAAACAAAGCCTGCTTTGCCTCAGGTGTCTTTCTACATAAGTTGAAGCCACATGGTATGCAGCAATGATCATTGCGTGCATGTGTGAGCGTGTGTGTATGTGTGTCCAGATGCTTTCTGTTTTAAGATGAATTCACAACTGGAGAGGAGGATAATAAGCATAACCAGTTTGGGGATTTTTTTGTGTAATGTTCTTTCGTGGGTGTTGAACAGTAATAAATCACCTATCCCTTCTACAAAAGAAACTGTTTTGAATTGGGAAGAGCTCAATCATTTCCTGTATCCATCAGCTCTTTGATTTAGGTTAGTTCAAGGTTGGTAGAGAGTGTTGTCCCTCTCCTTCTGCTGATTCTCTTTCTTGTTTTAAGGCAATAAGAAGTATCAACAACATCTTAAAATTTTATGGACAGATTATTGGTTACAGACCCCCTGAAACACCTAAGGATGGCTGCTTCTCCTTCCTAGCTGTAGAGCTGCCGTATAGAATAGAATAATCTCCAATACTGGCAAGGCTCCATTAGGGACTCTCGGAGGCCCACAAAACTCAAGAGCTTGAATGCCATATCCTCGTCTGAAAAATGCCTTCTGCTCCTTATACAGAAGGGAGAGGAGAATTGCCATATGTGTCTTAATATAAGACCAGAAAAGCAGAAACCACCTCTAGCAGAGACCCTTAAACTACAGCCCCAGACTTTTGGTTTTCTGTTTGGAAGCTTTGAGAGCTCCCACATATACACTAATAAGAACTAAGAACAAGATTTTAAAACTATGCCACAAAATAGTAGTTAACCATAAACAAGACTGCTGGCTGTTTCCTTGTGTGCATATTTAGCAACCGCATTTTTTCATGCAGTTTACCTCATTGTCGGTGGGAATTTGATAAGCCACCACAAAAAGAAATTAATGAGTGATTTAATTTCAAAGGCATCTTACCAGTGGGCTACCGTCAGTCCAGCGGAAATCACGCTCAAACATCTTGTCATTGAGGCCAATCCACTGGTAGTCATGCCCAATACCTAAGGAACCAGAAGGGTATTTTTATTAACTTTCCCATAAATGGAAGAGATTTCACCAAAGAAAATAAAAAGAATTTGCACAGAATGAATCAGACATCCTGTTCTTAAGATTCTTCTACTCATTATGCAAACAACTATTTACAGGCTGTTTTTCAGCTTTTCAATTTTAATTTGGAATGTCTGTAAAAATGCAGATTCTCATCTAAGTTTTAAAAGATCCTGTCTCTTCCCTCCTGATGATGTTTCCCAAAGAAAAGTTTAGTTTCCTACCTGAGTGTATCTGAAAGGCAGGAAAAAAAAAAAAAAGCAAAAAAAAAAAGCACGGTTTTTAATCCACATTTTTCAAGTTTTGTTTAGGCTGTGACCAGTGTTGTCTAGATTTTGCAGCAGAGCATACAGTAACTATTTCTTTATGCCTACCTAATGCAATATATAGTGGTATGGTCACTGATGCACAAAAAATCTAAAGCCTGCAGAAAAGAACATTTCTTCAGTTTCCAATGCCAAAACAATAGTTCCTGTTCTCTTCCTCAGAAATAAAGTATTTTCTATGTAGCAAATAATAACTTAATAGTGATAGGGAACTTACACTGACTGCAAACGTAAACATGAAGAACACAAAGTGTGCCTTTTAAACATACCAAAAATGTATCTTAAGATGGAGATGTAAAAGCTGAGTGATCAGGGGGATATTTTACTCACTCTGAACCCTCAGTGCCTGCTTTTGTTTAGAGGAAACCTAGCAGTACATACGGTTCACAAAGATCTGCTCCTCATGAGACAAGATGCTTGTCAAGTGTGCTCCCTGGAGACGGCATTCCCGTTCAGCCGTGTCCCACGTACGCCGATGGGCAAAGTACTTGTAGCACTGTCCTTGGAACTTGTGCCAGCCATAATCACAGGTCTCTGTGTCTGTGACAAACAAATAAATCATATCTCTGTCAAAGGACATAAAACACGGGCATGTTTCATGCAAGTGGATGGATTTTCTGCAGAGCAAAGGTTCAAGAAGATACCCACTAATCAAGCAGTACAAATGTAAACAATCATCCTTGGGATTTCATTACATTTTCAGGTAGTTCTGTTTACTCACTTTCAGCACCAAGCTGCAAGAATATTGCTTACGTAAGGATATAATTGCAACTGGCAACTTTGTGAGCTTTCACTGGTCTAATTGTGTTATATCTGGACAATCTCAGGAGGACATCTTCAGGCCATAACTCTGTATTAATGAAATGCCTGGATGTTGGACTACAGTTAGTCTACATTTCATCTGAGTTTTCTGAGTCTGAATATGGGGATGGGAATTTTTACTTGCAAGGGCAAAGAGTTATTTGAATGACTGTAATAAATTACCTTGGTTTGGAAGAAACTGATAACTGAAAATCATAGGAAGGAAAGTGTGTTTGTTCAGTCCACAGATGCAAAGCTGCAGTATTATCTTTCTGAACTTACCCCTCCAAACCCTCCTCCAAAACTTATCTTCCTTGACAAAGTCTAACTTAATAAACTTTAAGCATCAGTTTCTAAGGAAGGCTGTAAAGCTGAAATACAAAGTAATGAAATGCACACTATCTATGCATGTATGAGAGACAGTACAGATAAGAATGCATAATAGAGAGAAGTTCACATCAGCCAGTATATCCTTTCATCTAAAGGAAAATAAACATGAGCCTTGGAACAGTAACAATCCATGGATTTGATGTTAATTATTTTGTCAAGGTAAGGCAGCTGTAAACTGAAGAGATGACAAGAAACAGCAAAGTTCCGGTTCCAAATTTGCTTCTGCACCAACACTGCAAGAATAATTCACAGACAAAAATCAGTATTAATGAGATGGGCATAACAAATATGATGCCTGAATGTGTTGTGCTTGATGATGAGAACTTGTCACTCAGAAGAGAGAGTTTTAGGGAGGAATGAGAGAAAAAATAGGGAAAACTCAGACTGGTTTGAGTTATGGCAGGTGAAATAGCATCTTAAAGGACATGTCAGTACAAGTTTACAGCTTGTTTAAACTACAGCCAGTTCAAGATATCTAAGTACATGATGTCTCACCTTGAAGAGCCTCAGCTACAAGATACTGAAGAACAGAAATACAAAGCTTGGCCTTCCCTACTCCACACACCAAAGAGGAATTTGCCACTTCCCACCAAGTTTTATCAATCCCCAAACAAAACTGTGTCTGAAAGCAACTGTCTGGCCTTTCCAGAGATACAGATATATTCTGGGTATGAAAATGGATTCCTTATTTTCAGTAAGTTAATACAGTCCATAGTCAATAACATGCTTTAGCCAAAGGGACTCTTTTTGCATTAGTACAGAAAATAACAAATATTATAGAATATGTCAATGACACATGACTGAAAATTCTTTATGATATTTCTTAGGTTGGAGCAGCTACCACCTGAAAGAAAATTGCAGAATAATTTTTTCACAACACAAGGCTAGTTCTTAATTCATAGCAGGAAGAGGTCATTTACATTCTGAAGCACCAAAGTGTCTATTTTATTTTAAAAAAAAATATTTATCCCAAGATACAAACTAGATTTTACATGTACATAAATGGATTTAAAAGTGCAAACATATCACTTTGGAGACTTACCAGAATTTTTCTGACAATTCCTGGCAACACTAATAATGTAGCAGTCATTGTCTTAGGAGTTTGGTATCAAAATTATTTTCTAAAAGTCATCACTACAGATATAAATGTACCAAATACAAAGGCATAATAAAGCTTAAACTGATTATCTCTCTTCTATTTTCAACAAGTTAAGCTGTAGAAAACTGCTTGTGTCTTGAGTAAACCTAGATATGAAAAAGGAATGTAATCTATACTACCAACTTGTTAGGTTTTTATCTTTTCCCTCTTTGTATTCTGTATGAGGTGCAAGCTGCCGATAGAGCTTTAATCTCTGGCATCTAGGCCATTTTAAAGTTTAGTCTGCCTTTGGCTTTCTAGCACATTTGTTTAACCACATGATGCTGACTAACAATGCTACCTCCTTTGTGAAGGCACTTAAAATTTTATTATTCATCCTGTTCAGGTAGTCCCTTGTCCCACAGGAAGGAAATCAGATAATAACAAGCAGCATGCATGCTGAGAAAATCATGGCCAGAGAGCATTTCTAACTATTAATAAGCATTTCTAACTAATATTCTAGTCTATTCTAACCAGGTTTTCCCTGGCTTCTACTAGGGAAGAAGTGCATGATTTGATAGGTACTCTTAGTTGAAATGCATCCACTGCAGTGCAGATACAACTTCTCCCTCCTATCCAAAATAGCATGCTCTTTTCCAAAAGAGAAAAGTCAAATAACTTCTTCTGCACCTGTCTGTAGCGCAAATCTACAAAGACAGAAAAAGACAGGGCTGATGGCTATAAAATAAGTAGAACTTTTAGAAGGGGAATAAAGGACAGAGAGTTTTTTTTTTTTTTTTTTTTTTTTTTTTTTTTTTTTTTTTTTTTTTTTTTTTGAGAGGCGAGGTTGATGAGAAGAAGGGAAAAGGGAATGAAGAAAAGGTGAGTCAAGAGGCTAGTGGGTGAAAAATGCAAACCAGGCAAGTAAAAGATGTGGAAACTGTTTCATCTCCACAGTGCTTTGTCCCAAGTGTGTGTATCTTCCTACATTAACAAAGCTGAAAGGGTGACATAAAGGTAAGGGCTCCATATGGTTATAACTTTTTAATGCCTTCACTGAACCAGTAAAGTCTAATTGAAGGTGGCTGTAAATTTTTGGACCTAATCACATGTAAGCAAAATAGTTGCAAGCACTTACTGAATATAATACTCCATGCTCATTGTATACTTATCCAGGAAGGTAATGACAGCTTTTCTCAACCTTATTCCAGAACCTGGAAAGACTGAAACACTGCTTGCCGTATTTATAGTGTTTAGAAGTTGTCTCACCAGTCTTAAGATTTATGACAATTTACAGGTTTTTTCAGTGATGTGTGCAAGGAGTTACTTACACAGCTTCTGTTCTCTGTAACTGCGGTCGTATAATAACATCTCTAAACACTGCATTAAAAAAAAAGTTCTCTGTAGGTTTGATACTTAGATAGGTACTGTTTTTTCAACAGCTGCAACAAGCTGTTGACAATAGCTCCCTTGTCTTTAAAGAAATTCCATAAGAGGCTTAAAGAAAATAAAGACTGAAACACAGGTACTAGAACATAATAAGAGTCTTACTCAGCTGTGAATTTTATCTGTGACTGTCTGCCTTCAGCTAATGAACAAATGCCTGAGGCCTATTAGCCCACACATCTTGAAGAGAAACCGTTTCTCTGGTAAATATTCAAAATAATCTGTTCTCAGCTGAAAGACATCAGTTAGAGACCATCTGTTTTCAGAAAGTATTTTTGCAGTGAGCCCTTCTCAAATACTTCCATCCCCAGCTACCAAGCCCTCAGAACAAAGTGGATTAAATGAGACCAGCATAATCAAAGACATTTGAACAATGAACTTGGGTTGTAAAAAAATATTGTTCCTGATATGATGATTAGGAAATCCCAGTTGGTATGTTTTCCGAACCTGGAAGACAGCAGCTGGTTGTATTATTCCAATGAAGCATGTCCTGTAACAAACACATATGTGCCATTTTGGCACACAGGTCCATGCATGCAGCTGCATTGGGTAAACAGGCTAGCCTAGGTGTGTCTGCAGAGATCCTGCAGAGGAGGAAGCCAAACCTTAAGTTTAAAACACAAACACCGTTCCTTGAAAGCAAGTAGACACCAGGTAGAAAAGGAGAAAAAGAAAAGGAAACTCTAGTCAGCCAAGGAAAAAAAGGGGAAAATCTAAACAAGTGCTCATCCAATTATCATAAAAAACATTCTTGAGATTGGGGTTCAAATTTCAAGTCTCTACCATTTGTTGTTTCCCCTGTAACTATCCATGAAATAAGGTACACCCCACAACAAATACAGATGGCCAGATAACGCAACAACAGCCACAGGCTTTCATACACCCCACTGCTCCCTCAGCACTATTATCTACTGTTGGTTCCATGGGCCCGGTGTGAGACAGGGTATTAACCAAACCTCTTCTCCTCTCTCCCCAAACATGGAGCCTGCAAAGTAACGCTGCAGGAAGCAAAGCTGGGAGGATCTGAGCTCTGGGCTCATTTATCTGGACACTGAGATCTTTCATAAGGGCTTTTCACAGAGGAATGGCAACGGAAAGACTGATGGCTCCCCCAGGATAAGACTCACATCAAGATCTACTGTAGCCTGCACTCCTCCTTTGAAAAAGCTTTTGGGATATTTCTGCATTTTAAGAAGTGATTTTCAAATGTCACCAAGTAGCATGCAAAATATGCATCTGTACTTTGAAAAGATACATGTGCTGTGCAAAAGAGGGTATTATCTAACAGAGGTGCTCCACTCACTTTTAATCTAGTTTGACCAGAAGTGATGCTGGCTTACTGAACTACCAATCTAGTTTAAAAAGGAAACACCCTCAGCTGCTCTATTTCTAACATCAGACAACTTTAGCTCTCTTCAGGAAGAAGTTCCTGGGCTCAGATTGTCTGCTGAACTGTTTCCACCTGGCAAGAAAAATGGCTGTCAGGCAGCCAATTACAGCTCACTGAGTCTTAGGATTGATTTCCCTCACCCTGGGTTAGATCACCCTGAAGGCTCCCCTAACTTCTATCACCAGCTGGAGCTCCCTGATGTGCAGCTGCACTGTCCTCTGGTCACATCTCCTCCTAACGCTGACATAGGCGTAATACATCAGTCAAAGATCCCTTAGTCTAGAAAAGTCTTACAGGGGCATTTGGGTGAAACTCTGAGCTTTAATTTTTTCTGCACTAGTGTTGTGGGACCAGGACACAGTGGAGTTGTCTCCTACTTCGAGCTTCATTTCCAGAGGCAATGCAAACTCACTGCTGCCATTCCCTTCCATGACATTTTGAATACTGAGCACCTAAGAAAGCCCTTCAAGTTTGACTTTTTTTTTAAGCTTTCTAAAACGAATAGTATATATTGGGAAAAAAAAAAAAAAAAAAGGGAAAAAAAAGGAGTCATGAAATATAATCTCAACTCCACCTTTCCTGTGGCACTGAGGTACGCATTCTGTCGTTCTGGCTGGTCTTTAAATCTAGTGAGGTCAGGACTGGTGCCTTGAAATAAAGCCTGCTTGCCAGACAACCGTGTCTGAATCGCCAACACAGTTTTATTTTGTCTGGTGGAGTGGAAATTTGGCACTAAAAGCTTTTCCCAAGTCCCAAACCCCTGCAGGACTTTAAGTGGAGGAAATTTAAATTCCAAAACTCAGTGAGTAGGGCTCTGGTTCTGATTGACAAACTAGGAAGTGTTCCTGTTAACCACCTAAAATGCATTCTCAGGTTGGTCATAAAAAGCAGCTTAAAGCTACCATGGTACTCAGAGACACTCGCTACTATGGATTTGCTAGAATGAAGGGGAGGAGGAAGTGAGTGAGAACATTTCTTTTGTTGTGAAAACACTGTCAACTTATAATTTTTGAAAACAGATTCAGAAAATCCTTTCAAATTACAAGGTTAGTCAGACTACTGAAAAAATGGTGAAAAGTTCTGGAGCTGGTCAGCTTTCAGGGTTTTCAGCTCTAAAAGACTAATCTCTAAACACTGAGCTGCAAGACACACAGTTTGAAAACTTCCTTTCACTGAAGATGAGAAACAAACATGAAAATACACAATGTTAATTAAAGAAATCCAAAGGTTTAGTTCATTCACCTGTGACCAAAACCATTCAAAAAAAAAAAAAAAAAAAAAAAAAAAGCATTTTCATAAGCTTTAGAAAGTACACTTTAAAACACCATTTCTTTTCCACATGGGAATGCCTTCATTAATTTTACTGACAGAACAGATTTTACAACCCTGTTCCTCCTCCCACATGCACATATTGAGTAAGCATCTTGCACTGTAAATATTTCTTGTAAATACAGTGGGATTTCTTGAAGGCAATATTCTAACAATTACAGAGACGACTTCATTGTAATTGTCATCCTGCACATACTTTTCCTAAAATAATCAGTTTGAAAATTCTGGGATGAAATTTTCAAGGCTGTGGTCCCCAGAGGATGGATATATAATATGGCATATCCAGTAGGCTATTCCTACTTTTCAGTGATGCCTGTTGGAAGTGATGGGTTCTGATATGTATTCTACACCATATATAATTTTTTAAACCAGAAGCTTGGTCAGAGAGTGACTGCTCCACTCATTATCCCAGAAATATCACTACAGTAATGAGAGAACCTTTTATGTCTTCTCAGTAATTTGCAAGTCAATATGAGCAGGCTGTTCTTGCCTTGGAAACACCTGAAAGCTATACAGCTGTTGTTATTTTGACACAGAAACTGCCCAATATATCAGTTTATATTTGGTGCAGCAATAATGTGACTTCCAGTCACGTTAGCACGTGGATAGACTTTGCTCTCATCTGTCTGCAAGAGATGGTGTAGTTGTAAGCTTAAACAAAAAGTCCCAAGACATAAATCATAGGAGTCTAACATACTCAAAAATTATGATCTTTCCTTATCACTGATGGCTTCCCACAGATTTTGACAGTTTCTTCCATCCTCTAGTTTTTAGGACGCTTTGACTAGTTACTCCAGAAGGGTGTTGGAAATGGAAACCGATGACCTTGATCACCATAGATTAAAGAATACACCTTACCTTGTTCACAGAGAGCACCTATATAGCTTGGCAAACACAAGCAAGTAAAGGTGTTGAGGCCATCTATGCACGTGGCTCCATTCCGGCATGGGTTAGACTGGCATTCATCGATATCTACAACATAAAGATGAAAGTGTTTTTATAATCCACCCACCTCTCAGAAGGGAAATGTTCTTCAGCCATATTAGTACTTATTACTAGGACCAGTTCAATTCAGAAGAATGAAGTATTGCAAAAGATCCAAATGACCAGTTTATTTGCACGATAACTGATTTCACCATGCACAGCCTTTCTTTCTCTTCATCCACAAGCCAAGAAGCAGTTTCCTCAGGAAATGTGATCCACAATTTTATATCCAGCACTCTGACTCTTGAGTCAATTTCTAAAATCTAGACCTTCAATTCCTCATTGTGTAGCTAAGAAAGAAGTGATACTGTCCCGTATGTAGTATTTTTCCCGTACTGGTGGAAAATTTGACTTGCATGTGTGACCACGGCACATAAAATAATCATCAAGTACTGGAGACCTCAAGTACCTTCACGAATCTCAAATTCTGTCATATGCCATCAAACAGACTGATAATTTCAGTCTGCAAAGCAGCATGCTCTGGCAACTTACTGGTTAACATTGATCATTTCTTCCTTCTCTAATATTATCAAGATAAGGACAAAGCATCATAAAGACAATCTCACTAAATGACCAGTCAGATAGAAACATTCATAGTCATGTTCCAGAGTAACATAGGTAACATTTCTGTCCCCCACTACTCTGTCCACTAAAATACCTTGGTTTTGTCTTTTAAATTGGAGCGCAAGTTCATTTAACATTAATTTGTGCATGTGTTATAAGCTAGTATGTCTCTTTATAAAGAACATGTGTTTTCTAATGAGCGCTGCTGCTCTGAAACAATCACAGCTTAAACGTCAATGCAGATTTTTCAGACATCTTAGTTGCAAGTGAAGTGCTGGTAGTGATTGACTATTAAAATATAAGAGAAGTTAAACATAAGTACAAATCAACAAACAGTTGCACAACCCTAGGAATAATTGCTGCTTCATATGAATGGTTTTTTACAAAATATTTTTATTGTAAAAAAAAACACTGTTCAAATTTTATGTTAGGTCTTATTTGTTCCAGTCATTTAGAAAAAAAAAATAAGTCAACGTTTATGCCTTGGATACAGAGTATCTCTGAATCCAGGGCTAGAATGCTGTGGTTTACTTTCTAAAGCACCACAGAACATATTTTGATATAGCAACTGGCCGTGAAGAGTCCCACTCCAATTCATTAATAAGCCACTATGAGTTCTAGGGGGCAAGAAGTGGCCAGATTATTATTTTAAAATCCTTAAAAAAAAGGAGAAAACTATTATCTCTGGGGATGCCATATTCCTTGACAAAGAAGAATATCTAAGATACAATATCTATTACCTGGTATCTAGCAGTAACAACTCACTAGGGAACTAGCCAATTCATCAATATCAGCTGGGAAAACAGAAAAACATTGGCCAATTGGTTTTTTAATTTGCCATCTTGCAGAACACAAATAAAATCATAGTAATCCTGACAGTTATGCTGCCCTGGTATCAACCTTTGGGGTTTTTTTTGTTTTGTTTTGTTTTGTTTTTTCCCCAAGCTATATATGATGAGTTGAACTCATTTTAGCAACACCACACGGGTTTTTTTCTTTCAAATTTGGCAGGCAACTGTGTAACAGGCAAATCCATGGTATAGATCAGGGAATTAAACTTACGTTTCAAAAGTCTAAACCAGGTCTATTACTAAACAGCCAAAATACCACTTTTATCACAGTTTGGCTTTCTGGTTGGAAGGAAAAGCTGTTTGTTCTGAACTGGACTGGGGAGTGTCTTGAAACCCATAGTCATAACAGGTAAACAGATGTCACTGGCAGCTTGAAGAGGTCCTCAATTACAGGAGTTATGAAAAAAAATAATTTATGCCAAAGATGTATAAGTTTATGATCATATTTACAGTTTCCTTGAATTGTAAATCATGCTGGCATTCAGTGCTCAGTTTCCCAGTCACATTTGGGATTAGCCTATTTTATCACCCTTTCAAATAATTAATTACACAAAGCTCTTAAGAACTATCCCAATTATTAATGTTTATTTGTTTTTATTTGAACTTAATACTATGAATTCTAGGTCATGTAGTTGATTTACAATTCTCTTATGCCTGTACAAGTACAAATCTGTGCACTTTAAGGGGAGAGAGAAAAGGCGTAAGTGGACCTCCTTAATTTTGTTGTTCGCTTTCTAAGTAAGTTCTCACTGTAGAATTTTTCAAATGTCTACGCATTCTTCAACCTCAAAACACACCACTTCTGCAGATCTCATGTATGAAAACTTTGTGCTTGACTTAATCAGTATCCAGATGGCATCAGCTTACCTAATTCACACTGCTCGCCGTTGAAACCTGGCAAACATGTACAGATATAAAACGAACCACGCGGATAGCAGGTACCACCGTTAAGGCAGGGATTGCTTTTGCATGGATCTTGGCCTGTTAAACAAGTAGAAAAAGAAAATCTGCTCTGTAGTTTCAAGCAACTGGTGTCTTTTTGACTTTTTTGGAAGAAGAAATCTATCTTCATTTCAGTATTGATGTTGAAGGCTTTATTGTAGTTACAGAAAACCTATTAACGTAATAAACCACTGAAAATAAGATAGTTTTGTAAAATAATAAAGCTTATTTTCAGGCATCACTATTTTCAACTTTAACAACAACATAGCATTTACTATGAACCAGTATAAATAATTTTCGGAATTACATTTTTTTGTTGCAATTTGTATTATATTTGGCAGTCATGAGGATTTAGTTTGCATGACATGACAATTAATTATAGCTGAAAACAGTTAAACATATGCAAAATGAATGGAAAATGCTTTTTTTTTAAAAAAAAAAACCAACAAAACAAACAAAAAACAAACAGGGTTAGTTTATGTAGAATGATTGGGTACACAGAACATACTTGCTGGCTGCTGTTGTTTCACTTTGTTATATTTAATCAATCAATGTCCACAAAGTCTTATTTCTTTGCAATTATGTTTTTACACCTGTCTTTCTTAAAAACACATTTCAAGAATAGAAATAAAGATACTGAACACATTCATAACTGAACTAAACATTAAGATAAAAGCTTACCTGCTATGAAATCCTCAGCTGTGATGGGAGTTGTTATTTAAATAACTTTTCCTTGCAGAGCTTTGTGCCTTCTAGTGATGTTTATTTCAACTGAGTTTAGACATTTGAATTCGATTTAATGCCTAGGAGCAATAACTCACACAAACAAGTACGCACTAGATAACCATTTCTAAGTATTAACTTCTCAGAATTAGAGGGAAATCATGAAGACAGTCCTTCTGGGATAGAGGTAGAAAGCCCTGGCTTTGAAAACTTATAAAAATGGCGAGTTCTGTAACCTAAGTTCATTCACAGATATTAAAAAAGTTTAAATATTTGGTTACATGTTTCCAGAAGAGCCTGACTATGGTTTATGAAATAAAAGATAACTAACATCTATTTCATCCTTGCAAATTCGACATTCAGAGAAGTCTTCTTAACATACCAACTTCCCTGTCTAGTCACTGGAAAGCCGAAGTTTCAGTGGAAAGCCTCCAGGAGAAAATCTGTCCACAAAAGCTTGGGATTGTAATTAAATGGGCAGGATCTTGCTTTGGAGGTTTTGAAAAGAGTCTGATCACATGCATAAAATAGGGTGCTTGTTTTAGGACTGCTTCACTGAAAGTACTGAAAGTGAGGATATGTTAAACACCTAATGATGTTTATTGTATGTTTACTGTCTGTTTGTCCTCCTGCTGACTGGATATTTTCCCAGAAATATTTTCAAATTTACAGTTACTTGAATTATTGGAGGAAAAATAATAGAAAACCCTATAAAATTAAGTCAGTTCTGTTCTTTCCTCAGCTATATCTAGACAAAATATGAAGTGATGCTATCCATACTGACTCTACCTGTATCATCTGTGTATTTGGTGAAATGGTGCCTAACCATCATTATGTAAAAGAAAATACTGTGGTAAATGAATCTACCGAAAAGATCTGCAATTTATAAGAGACACACGTTGTATTAACCACTTAAAGCTACAGACAGACTGAAAAGATGAAGTCTTGTTTTTCTTTTGTCTGGAGAGCTACCTTGTAGGTTAAGAGAAGTTAAATTTTATACAAAATTTTCATCTTAAAATGCGCACTTGTTCTGCTCCCTCAGTCAACAGCAGCATGTTATAAAACAACCCTACCTATAATCCAATTGTGTAAGTGCCGACACAGAAAAGCTGTAAAGTTATCCGTTGGAAATTGAAAAATTAAATAATTACAGCTGAATTCTATACCACAATCAATTACCTTCCTGTCTTTTAGAACTGGCTGGTCACCTCAAGTCTGATCCAGAGCTCCACGATGCAAACACTCAGGAAAAGTCACTGAGCTTGAGTTTTGGTACCCCATCCTCCTTCATTTTGTAGGGGTTACCATCATGCTGATTTCAAGGCTTGAGGCTCACGAGTTCTGTTGTTATTTCACATGGTGCTCTGATTATCACACCTCTTATCAGAGTTAAGACACACATTTACAAGTATCACAACAAACATATACAACAGTGATCATATTTGGAAGTTACCTGGAATTTGCACTGCTGTGCCTTCAACTGAACCCACACTGGTGCCAATCAGGAAATCTGATCCATTAGTGACTTCCGGAAGGGAAAATGATGAAGTTACAAGTTCAATAGTATTTGGCTCCTCAGAACTCATCGTTGATGGCTCATTTCGATATGGACTGTTTCCAGGGTCAGCGCTGTTTGTTGCAATGTTAGAAGAAATTGTTGTGATTTCCTCTCGACCAAGCAAAGTTGATTGTGTTTCTGTGCTTCTATCCAAAGGTTGTGAAGATGAAGCTAGCATTGTAACTGCTTCCTGGTCAGGTTTCAATACTTCACTTTCAATACTATTAGGTGAATCTGAAACAGGAGTGGAAAAAAGCCATGGGATCTCTCCTGTAGTACTCCTGTCATCTTCTTGATGGGGGTTGTTGACTCTCCCAGAGGAAGCTTCAGCTTCCATTGTGCTAACTTTTGGAGCATCTGTGCTCACTCTTTCTCCAAAATTCAGAAAATCAGTAGGCAAGACATGTATTGAGGGAGAATCTCCAGAAACAGTAGCTTCTTCCTCAACAGCCAAATCAGTTACAGAGGTTTCTGTCTCCTCTATCCTGTCTGTTACAAGTCTATTAAAGTGAGGAGTACTTTCAGTAGTTGAGCTTTCTGAAATAGGCTTGAGAGAAAACTCCAGCAGAGAAGACTCTGTTCTGTCGAGAAGGTCTGTGGTGGGTGGCTTGTATGTTGCCGCAATATCAGAACTAACCTCTTTGAAGGTTCCTTCTGATGAATGATTGGGCTGATCTAAATCCTTTGATGATGATGTACTTGGAACGATTACCTCGGGATACTCAGATACTCCATTAACTAACTGAACAGTTACAGAGGATTTAGGAGTCTGAGGTACAGAATAGAAGCTCACTGAATCTGTTTCTTCATACTCTGCTGATGCTGATTTTGTGTTTGTGTATATTGTAGGATCCTTTCCTTCATTCCTGCTAGTTGATACAGTTGTCAGTTGTGATGTATGCTGTGTGGTGACGGTACTCACATCAAAAATGTCAGTTGTCAAAGCCTCTTCTGTCTCGGTAGTTAAAACTGGTGTAAGAGAAGGAAACACAGACTGCTTATCATCCAGTTCATCCTGGCCCATTCCAGAAAAAACAGAGACAGAGAATGTTTCACTTTGATCTGCTATTACTCGATTGTTGGATGAAGTATTCAGCTCGTAGGTGTCTTCTGTTGTACTTGTTACAACATGTTTAGACTCATGAGGCACATGAGGGCTCACCAGTGATGGTACCGTAGGAAGGAAAATGCCTAGTTCAGAGAGTTCAGTAGTGATGAGAGTTTCTGTTGCAAATGTCATAGCATTCCCTGAAGGCAAATCCTTGACATCTGATTTTGGTCTGTGCCCAGCTGTTACTGATTCACTACTTGGCTGACTGGAAGTGGTCAAAGACAGACTATCACCAGATCCATGTGTCTTCTCTTTGGTGATGGAAAATTTAGGTGTTGAATCATATTTCTCCCCTTCAGCTGTCATACTATCATCACCACCATATGTTGATTGTAAGACTGAATTTGGCATTGTCTGCACACTTATTATATCTTCAGGCATTGATTTTGAGTGATCCATGTCTATAATAGTTGTTTCTTCCGAAGGGATTTGAAGTCGTTCTTCAATTAGTGTAATATCACCATAGACAGAAACATTCAATATAACACTTCTTTTATCATCAATCATGGGAATAATTTTCTCATATATCCCGGTATCGCTTGTTAGTTCTTCTGATGTAGCTGTCTTTGGCTGAACAGCAGATGGATGTGCCATGATCTCTGTTTCTTCTGTAAAAAGGGATGCTAGTTCTGTGATCACAGTCTGTGATCCATCTATTGGTGTCTCTGTCGTCATAACTTCAGAATAAATTTCCCCAGGAACACTAGATGAAGCATTTAGTTCCACTTTTGACACAGAGGGTACTGACAAATGAGTAAACATATCAGGAGAAGAGGAATCCAAAACACCAACCCAGCCAGATCCTTCTCCAGAACTTTCAGTTAATACTCTGCCTGGCATTTTTGTTGCTGATGCTACAGGTGATTCTTGTGTTTCAAGATTAGGAGTTCCATTTAGTATGACAGAAACAGGAGTAACACCATCTTTAATCAGCAAATGTGAAGTTTCCTCCTGAGAAACAACTTTAGAAGCAGCTGTTGTCATATCTGTTTCATTTTCTCCTCTTCTATAGTTAGTTTCCTTATTGTGAGGTTCTTCAGTCACAACAAAGTAATGTGTCATCTCTTTAACCTCTTTAGAGCTGAAGCTTCTGGAACTCTCTTCTGCTAAAGCTGGGGAACTGGTGATCACTGAGCTGGGGAACTGATCTTCTGTTTCTGACAGCAGCTCAGTTACAGCACTTGTGACTTCTTCATTAACTTCAGCATTTGATTCAGTGCTTTCTCTTTCAAAGCCTTGCGGCTTGTCAGTTGAAAGTTTGGGTCTCATACTTGCAGGATGAGAAGTTTGAAGACTTGAAGTACTCATGGTTTCTTCGACAGACAATGTCGCTACAGAAGGAATAACAGCAAGCTCGTCTCCCGATCCTTGTCCTGAAAATAATGGATCACCAATGGGCTCATTACTTGTTAGCCTTTCTTCTTTAGGTGTCAGGAGTGACCTGGGAATATCTTTTGTAGGGAGAATATTTTGCACCAACTCCTCCTGTTGCTCTACATCTGTAACTGAAGAGCTTATGTATGTCCTTTCAATATTTGCAGGCTCAGTTACTCTGTCGTGATTAAATGACAAGAGTATTTTTTTAACAGATTCAGTTTCTAATTCCTTTTCTTCTGAATAAGGACTGACAGTTGGAACATTTAAAAATCCCAGATGTTCATGGTTAGCCTGTGTATTTTTAAAGAATGAGTCTGTTGTTGTTTCTTCAGAAGATTCTATAGCTTTTGGTGAAATTTCCCCTGGCCTGTCTTCCCCAGAATGTGTACCATTCACCAAATGAATCTTTGTAGAAAAAGCTCTCACTGTCAGTTCATCAATTGTTTTCTCTTCCATTCCTATGTCTGTTACAGTCCTCAGTGTCGTTATTTCCTGTTCAGTCCTTGTGACTAACTCATCAGTAGTGAAGGCATGATCCTTAGATGGTGTGCTCACAACTTTTTCGTCATACTTCTCTTGTGTTTCTGGTCTACCAGTGGGTGAAACTGCTGGTTTTGCAAAAGATTCCATGAATGTGTCTGCTTCTCCAGATCCCTGGTCAATAAATGAGAAATTACTTCCAAGTATTTCTTCAGTAGGTCCATTAGACATTAGTCTTGTGTCACTGCTGTCACCTTTGAATTCTTCTCCAGAGCCATGCTCAATCAGGAGAATCTTGCCTACTGAGACAGTTGAAGAACTAGGTTTTGCGTTTTTGCTTTCTGCAGATTCAGCTACTGCTTTTGTACTGCCAGTCCCTTGTGTCACCATGATGTCATGAGGACTGTTACTAACCACTGATTCTGGAGATGATGTGACCTCACTTGTTTCTAAATCTTCAGTTTTAACTCCTGGTGAAACATGAAATATGAACTCTTTTGTAGAATCAGGACTAGATTTTACTTCAGAAGGAATTATGTAAGTTGGTTCTGTTTCCTGGCTTTGTTCTCCGGGTTTTCCTGTACTAAACACATCCTGGGACATCTGAGTTGCTACTCCAGACTCCTTAGCCAAGCCATCTGATCCAGTACTTGAAACTGATATTGCTGATTCATCTGTTCTTGCATGTTCTGCATACTCTGTTGTTGCATTCATCAGTGAAGCATCATCTATGCTGTAAACTTTTCCTTCGTGCTTTTCTGTCTGTGTTTCAGTGACAGGCCTTAACGGAACTGAAGTCAAAGTAGCAGACTCAATGATAACATCTATGTCTCCAGACCCTGAATCAACAAACGGGGAGTCAGTACTTACCACTTTTCTTGTGGGACCCCCTGAAAATATGTCTACTGGTTCTTCTGCTGATCCTTCATTTATAAAAAGCTTCTTCTCTCTCAAGAAAGGAATGGTGGTGACTTTTTTCGTTTCAGAAGTTATGGCACCTGTTACCGGTACTGTTTTTCTGAGCAGGGTGGGCTCTTGACTTACAGTTCTGACTTCATTAGTAGTGCTCCCAAATTCATTCAACTCCAAATTTCCCTCTGTGCCAGTAGCTGAATTTTCCTGACTTGAATAAACAGTGGTCTGTATTTCTTTTTCAACTTCAGTACTCTTTTCAGTTACAAAAGAGCTGGCAAGTACTTCTTGCATAATAAACTCAGATACAGAAGTGGTGGCAACAGTTACTTCAGAACTTTGATCAAAAGCAGAATAGAGAGTACTTATTCCACTGGGTAAAGCAGAGGTAATTCCTGAAGTGGTTACAGAAATTTCTGTTGGCAGTACTGCGCCAGAGCCCAAAGAAACATCTTGCATTGAAAGTGTTTCTGCTACTGCTGTTTCTGTTGTCGTGGCTGAAGTTACAGCGATGTCCTCTTCTACATCTCCAGAGCCTTCTAGAACTATAAAAGAAGCAGCACTCACCTCAGGCTTTGCTGTATGATTACTTGTTTCCAGAAGATTTTCAACAGGGGAATTTGCATTAAGTTTAACAGTTGATTTATAATGATCTCCTGGAGCAGGGGTTGCCTCTTCTGGAATGAGATCTTTCACAGCTATGCCTACTGTAGCAGTATTAAAAACTGCATCCAGAGAAGCAGTTACAGCAGAATTTTCCACAGTAAATGCATCAGGAGCAGAAGTTACACCAGAATTTTTTCCATCATTTTCCTTTCTTGACATTGTCACAATTTCTGAGAAGATAGAGCTGGATAAATCAGATTCAGTGGTCCCATCTCCAGAAGCTTCATTAGTAATCAAAAGCAAGTGGTTTGTAGCTTTAGTAGAATTCTCCTCGGTTCCATGCCATGTTATGGTCTCTTCATTTTTTTGCAGAGACTGCTCAAATGAAGATGTAATGGCTATTGATTTATCTGTTGTGGCAACTTCTGACTCACCACTGTAAACAGGTTCTAACATTGCAACATCTGCTGTTGGCTGTGTAACTTCAAACACCCCTGTTACTTCTCCAGCTTTGCTTGGTTGCATAGTACCAGAAGCTTCAGTTTCAGCTATTATAAATGTGTTTGTTTCATTAATTTGAGAAAAGGTTACATTTTTGGAATGTGCAACGCTTTCAATTTGGTCACTTCTCGCTTCCTCAGCTTTTGTGCTCTTAGGTGCACTAGTAACTTGTTGCTTTCCATTGATGAACTGCAAAGCTGGAGGAGTAGTAACATCAGTAGTATTTTCACAGTCATCTTCTTCATCAAACTCTATAAAGTCTGGAAAGAAAGGATCCAGTATTATATATTCAGATGAATCCTGCACAGAGTCTGAAGTACAGGGTTCAGTCTGAGTTGATTCTGCATCAATGTGGGGTTCATCTATTGCATGAGGAAGCATGTGGCGATTGAACAGATCCAAAAATTCATTCACCGGATGATCTGAAAAAAAAAGAGAGCTTTTCATAATCCCTAAGTGACAGTAATGGTTGTGCATTATAGTAGACATATGAAGTACAAAGCAATCCATCAGAGAAAAAACAAACAAACCAAAACAAAGTAAAATTCAAAAGTAAACAGTAAATTCAGAGTATTCTTCTATTGATACAAAGTTAAATGCTGCCACAGTGTTTGACTTGCTAGTTGAAGCCTTTGTGTGTATTGAACAAATTTATTATGTAGTAGAGTCGATTGCCATGTGTGTTTAGTCCCAAACCCACACCTGAGCTAACTTATCCTACATTATTCAGCAGAGATAAGAAATGGACAAGATGAAAAAAATTTTTAGACCAAAAATTTCTGGTCCCAACTTGGAGCAACTATTTCCATGGATCTGAGATGCTAGAAAACCATTACCAGAAATTGAACTTAGACAAAGCTGAGCAAGGCAAAGTCTAAAATAAAACAGGACATGTAGAATATGCCTCTGCATCTCCATTTATTCTCAGTATAGAGTAATTCAGATTACTAGGAACACCATAAAAACTACACCAATTGCTCTATTCTTTATACTTGGACTGTAGGTCAATAAATTCTCGCTTTACAAAGTTGTTGCTATTTGGCATTATAAAGCATTATGAACCAAATAAGAAACAAATCCAAGATTCAAAAATCAATCACCATTCAGACAATAACATAAATAAAGTCCAGTTTTCTTCAGTTTACCACTCTCTTTGAATTATTATACACATTCCCACAGATCGCAAACCTCTCAAATTTTTGTCTAGATGGCCAAGCAGATAGAGGAGGAAGAAAGTTCAAAGTAGACAAGGCTTTAACTGCAGAAACCCTTGTGAATTCCTCTAAGATTTAGAATCCCAAGTTCCATAGACACTTTTTAAATGTGACCTCTCAGCACAAACATTACTTCAAACCTTCTGTTCCAGACAATAGATGCTACCCTAATTAAAAAAAAAAAAAAACAAAGGGATACCACAGACTCAGGAAAAGGCAGAAATTTAGGCATGGCCAGCTGACCTGGAGCTGAAAACTTTGTGCTGAAATCTTATTCCATGAATTTATCTTTATTTTGAGTCTGTGTTTATAACCGTTTTGTCCAAAGCAGAACTACTGTTTGCTGGTATAAACTGGTGTACCCAATAGAAGTTTGTCTACATCTGCCAGTAGAGGATAAGAACCAACATACAGGATTCCTGTCTTACAGTGCTGTCAGCAATGATTGCTCCGCAAAGAACATTTGCAGGTATTCTGGCATACCCAGTATATGATAGAACACATTTTTTAAGTAAATCTTCCTCATTAAAACTAAAAATGTGAGAACCTGACCGGTAAAGTATTTCATTAGATTGAAATAATTCCTCTGCATGTGAACATCATTTAACCTCTATGACTACTGAGTCCTCAGAGATAATCAGGTGGTCCTTCTGTAAGAGAATATATTAAATCACATTAAACTGATGCAGAGCACTGTGAAAAGCTTGTGATTTATTTTTCTAAACCTCCAGCTGTAAAGTAAATGGCAATTTCAAATCTGTTTTATAAAGAACATATAAAAAGGTGCCCAGAATCTGAGGTTTTGATCTAATTGTTAAACAACTTGGTAACAATTAAGATGCATGCTAGCCTTACAGAGAATAAATCACCCTCATCATTGTGTATTTCCACTGAAATATTTAGATTGTACAGCACTAATCTCAGTGTTCCCGATGCAACAAAAAAAGAGGTTGTTTTTAACCTAATTTCTGCCTGGCTATTCCATACTGCCCCAATAAAGCCCGGCGCTTACTCTGTCCTGTGACAGCACTATTAGATGGCTACAGAACTGAAACTCCTTCTGTCTCCCTCACGTATGCTTGTGGGGAGTTGTTTTACGCAATGCTTGTAAAGGGAAAATTTCTACCTGTTCCTTCCTCCATCAGGTTAGAAATATTTTCAGAGGCTGCCTGATGCCACCGAAAAACATATGTTCTGCAGCTATTTAGAGTCTTCCCAGGTCTCCCTTTCAAATTTTATTCAAACAGAAGAGTGAGAGTTTAGTTATTATTTGTCCAAGATTTGCAATATGGGGTGAAGAAGCATGTCTAACGTTACTTTCAAAACGCAGACATTTTAGCAAACAGCAACACTAATCATACTGAGGAATCACATTTTCATAAAAGTAGAAACTCTGATCAACACAGAATTGTACACATTCTTTCCAAAACTGTGAATGCAATACATGGGAATTCAATAACTGAAAGGGGAATGTTAAGTCAAAGCTGCTAGGGAGCTTTGAGAGTTTTGGATTCTCAATAAATTCACTATAAAATAACCATACCAACACATAGAACCTAAGAATTACATATAGAAAGGTCCACAGGCAAGAAAGGTGGCTTGTACTGTCTGCACAGCATAAGAAGGAATACGTATAAATAACCTGGTATATAGACTAATGTGGCATAAGGATTAATTATGTTTTTTTACACAGCTGTTAGGATTGTGTGCACAAAGCCTGTAGCATGCTTTTGCACAGAACTACACATTAAAAAAATTACAAAACCTGGATGGGACTGGATAGGCTGTAATTTATAGGAGGGTACCATGACTAACAAGTTCTGACCAGTGTATTATTTTTGTAGCAGTGCACACCTGGGAGTCCCTCAGATTACTAGCTCACGCTAAATCATTTATGGTAGGTAATAAATTTAATGAACAACATCTGTTCCAAATTCACCTAGAAGATATATACAAAATCTTACATATGCAAAGATCTCTATCAGATCTTACTTTTACTTTGTTAGCTTTTTCAAGATCTCACATGCCACAAAGATCCACATAAAATAACCTTAGTTAAAGGTATGATATTCCAATAATAAACTGTCAGGAGGCTCTTTCATTAAATACTAGAAGTTTTTGTAATGTTTTTTTTCCCAAGAAAAAAAATTAACCAGCTTTTAGGAAAATAGTAAAGAATCCAAATGATTTTTTTTTTTTTTTTTTTAAATTAGAATTTATTCTCTATTCTAGAGCTCTGATTATTCAATGCCAGCAATCAAGTTGCCAATGCTTAGGGTTAGGATGTATGGAAAATTCTCTTAAACCTAAGAGATAGTAAATAATCTACATTACAATATAATTCATATAACATATAACCTTGTCCTCTCAGAGTAAGAAAGACACCAGGATAAAAATCTAAGTGCTACCATAAAATATGAATATAGGAGGAAAATGTCTTATCTGTTGAACTGGTTTGTTAGACCCCTGAGGCAGGCACATGAACTCTTGCTATAGTTTTAAACTGTCTAGATGTAGCTGACATATGTTGCCCCTATTTATGTTCATGTCCATTCCAGCTGCAGGCAGAGACATACAGACCTGAGACTATTAATAAGAGACAAAACAAGGACTTTAAAGGAAAGGAGTTTGGGTCCTAATTATGTTTATCAATAGCTCATACATTATCATGGCAAACAAGTCAAAAGGAACAGTCATTCAAAGAAGTGTTTTGTTACTAGTCCTCCAAGAAAAAGAAAGTGAAAACAGGTAGCTAAGAGCAGTAAAAAGCAAGGGTTGTCAGTTTAGACTGCCAATCTAAACAAGTCCTAAAGGAGATTTATCAGTAAAGCCTCTTATAGAGGAAAGTGATGAGGTATGCACTGAAATAGAGATGGAATAGATAGACGGATGAGTGTATATGCAGCCTAGGGTGCTTCTTAATCCATTTAATATGTCTGGATGGTTTAAATTACCTATGGAATACGCATCTATCTCAGTAACAGTCAACTATGTGTAAGAAATGGAAATCCCTCTGGGTTTTTAGCCACAAGAGGACTTGACTGCTACTACCTATAGTCACAGAGCGACTGAGGTGGCATTAATTTCTATTACAACCCTCTTAATGACCATTGGTTCTAAATTCACATTAATTTTTCACTCAATCAAATATAAAAGTTGCCTCTATGCTACTGATGGACAAGCTAACTTGTGCACATACAAAAAATGTGTAACACATAGTAACATTTTTTCTTGAGAAGATTTTTAATATTCTGCAAAGAACCCTAAAGGGCTTTTCCAAGATAGTTTCTGAGCGACCAGGCAATAAAAAGCATTTCCTCTCTCAGAAACCTTCAGCTAAGTAGCTGAAGAAGAATTAATAGAGAATTAAATAGAAAACAGATTCTGATGCTTTCCAAACTTCCAAAACCCGAAATATTTCATTCAGAAAACTTATGGATTTAGCATGGTTTTGTGAAGTCTCATACAAAGTAGGACTGTTAACATCTAATCTGGTATCCTGCAGATAACAATTTCACCTATAAATTCCTGCAATCTGTCCATTTATTGCTTTAGAGCAACATGCTGAGTTTTTTCTGAGAAGGAATAGAGTTGAGTCTTTTGTTGAACGACTAGAGGTTTGAGAATCCCATGAAATTCACAGAGAGATTCATAAAATGTCCTATGAACTTTGAATCAGTCCCTATATTTTGATTAGAATAGACCTAAAAAGAAAAAAAAGAAAAAGAAAAAAAAGAAAAAACAAACAAACAAACAAACAAAAACAAAAAAACGACCAAAACTATTTTGGCCTGTTTGTTTCAAAAGCATGTGTTTTGTTGCATAATGTGACAGTATCACTAACACCATAATGTTCACTACCAAGAACCTATATCCACAAGACAGGCTAGCATGAAAAAATAAATTTGCATTAGTCAAATTTCTTCCTGCATTTCGTAGCCAGAAAATTTTGGTTTTGGCTTCAATAGAATTATATCAGCATGAATTCAGACCATAGTATGACTAAAATGTCATTAAAATATTGTATATATGTGCTTTTGCATCAAATTTCTGCAAATGTAACTGTCAGCAACTGTGAAAAATGTGGTAACTTGGAACAAAAATCAAAAATGTTTGGCTAGGGAAGAAAAGCAATAAACAATTTATTTTAAGATAAACATTGAGAAAATCTAGGGGGTTTCCCTCCTGTGTGTACTGGATAACTACTC